CCCCCCCGGCGGCCCCCCCCCCTGCCAATACTGCCGGTGGCGTCTGCGGGCGGTGTCTGCAGGTAGTCACCAACTACTAGCTGGTGCTCCCCCCGCCGCCGCCGACTACCGCAGCCGCGTGCGGGAGCTCCCCGCTCGCCCCCGCCATGCGCCAGCCGCCTACGAGCGACCGCTCTGCCCCCCCGCCTCGGGGCACGCGGCGTTCACGTGTCTCGGTGTCTATAGATGGGGCCCTACTAGGCTGCAGGAAACAGCTCCGCAGCAGGTTCATGCTTGTAAACACAAATACTAGCCTCCTGCTGGGGTTTTCCGTGTGTGGTGACACAGGGGTAGGTGCTGACATCGCGGCTGGGGCAGGGGGTGCTTCAGTGTGGGGGCTTCCCCCGCCCTGGAACCTCCTCATCCGCCAGCCCCTCTGCTGCCGCCTGAGCCGGGTCCGAGCCTGAGCCCTGGCCCCTACCCAGCCGGCTCAGCGTGCTGGGCGCACGTGGCGCCTGGGGGCAATCAGCTCCGTCACAGCGTTGGCCAGTTTATTGCTTTGCACGACTGTGCACGTGTAGCTGCGCCCAGGAGCAGCGCGCAGTGGAACCCGGCTCGGGCGCGCCTTGCTTTTCTTCGGAGGCCGGGGCAGTGCGGGCCCCCCCTCACAGAAGGGGCCGCGGCTGTGGCAGCGGTACAAAGCCGAGATGCTCCACTTCCGCTCGCGGCAGCAGCAGCACGGGGCAAGCGCTTTGCTCCCACGGCGCATGCGTACAGGGGTGCCTAGCCTAGGTTTCCCGGCATACACTGTGGCGGGATCGGGCGGCCCTTCCGCTCCCGGCGACGCCACTTCCGCCGCTGAGCTGGGGGGAGGGGCAGAGCGCGACAGGCAGCATGGCTGTGCCCGCGGATGCCGGGAGCGGGACTGCTGCTCCGGCTCGGGCCAAGCGCCCCGCTAAAAAGAAAGCGGGAAACGGTGACGTGGCGCGGGCGCGGGCGGTTGTCGGGTTCCTCCCCTCCCTCCCGCGCCGCGGGGCTGGGGACTCATGCGCTGGCCGCGTTCTTCTCCCGGGGGGGGGCTGGGGACTTCTCCGCGCCCCTGTGGGTTGCCTGCACCGCCTTGCCCTTGCAGTGGGAGCTGGTGATACTCAGCACCTTCCTTAGCGTGGGTCCAATACACCTCGGCCCCGAGTCCGGTACCTTTAGCAGCTACTGGGCCCATCTGCACATGCTTTTACGTGCGCCTAAACTTAATGTGCATTAAGGCAGTTGAAGCACACGGTTACACGTACACGCGCTAAGGGTCATTAATGCAGACTGACTTGGGACTCAAGTTCATGCCATGTCAATCAGCGTACACAGTGTTAATGCTTCTTAGCACATCTACGTGTGTGTTAAGGTGCTTTAGCTGTGCCTGCCAAATTTTGATGCTTGCTTTTGCAGATATTAATTTTAGGCACAAGTAGCCTAAAATCACCATTTTTAAGGCATGTTAAGGGTGTGCATGTGTAGACTTACACCCTGCATGCACCTTGAAAATGGCTAATGTACCTTAAATTGGCACATTATGCACCCATTAAGAGGAGGAAAAAGGCAGTTGGTGATGGAAGGAGAAGCTCTCTAATGTTGGCACATTTTTGTCTGTAGTGGTGGATGAATTGCAGCTTCTCACTGTCCCCGACGGCTGGAAAGAAGCACCCTTTACAAAAGAAGATAACCCAAGAGGACTTCTAGAAGAAAGCAGTTTCGCAACTCTGTTCCCAAAGTACAGAGAGGCTTACTTGAAAGAGTGCTGGCCACTGGTGCAGAAAGCCTTGAATGAACATGTATGAATGACTCCTAGATACTCATAGACTAACTCCTAAAACTGCATTTTGTCATTTGAAAAGTTGATTGCAGTTATGCATGTTACTTAGTCCACCTTCCTGTGTGGGTTCACTTTATTTTGACAGCATTCTCAGTATGTATTTCCAGATGTGTATGTACCTTAAGACCGGAACAATCTAGTTCTGCAGTTGAAGTTAAGAGGGCAGACTCTTGAGTCTGTGGGGAGCCCAGCTAAAATTAATGGGGACTGTGTGAAGCAGTCAGAATCCAGCTTGTTAACCTAATTGAGGTTCTTGCAGACTCGAATTGAACCACTTGTGCAGGTGAAGATTGGTGCCTTTTTCAAGCACTATTCAGGAATAAACTGTAGCTTGTTGCTCCCACAGACTTTAATAATCTAGAGGTCAGTTTAGAAATGGTAGAAATCAAATGTATAGTAGCGTAAACATGTTTTATTTCAGGTATCCTATTTCTTTTGATGGAAAATCCTTAGGTTTTTATTAAAGACGAGACTGGCTGCATGTGGCTGATGATTTGTTTTCAACTATTGCAGCATATAAATGCGTCGTTGGATTTAATTGAAGGTAGCATGACTGTCACCACAACTAAGAAAACCTTTGACCCATATATGATCATCAGAGCAAGAGACTTAATAAAGCTTTTAGCAAGAAGTGTTCCATTTGAGCAGGTTTGTAGAAAAAAAACAGTAATTCATATAAAGTACTTAAGCGATTAATTTTAATATTCATATTATTTATATTAAATTTAATTAATTTAATATTTCTCAGTTCAAAAGTTGGGTTTTCAGTCAATTCAGTGGAACAGAATAAAGCATGAACTTTGAAAGAAAAGTGCTTACGGAATAATGAAGTATTTAACAGAGGGATAGAATAAACTTTTCTTGGCACGTGCTTAAGATGTAGTAATGAGTTTTTGCTTCATTTAGTGCAATGAAAGGTGAGGATTTGCTGTAGGATAAACCATTTCTTGTATTTCTTATCTTTGGTTTTGCTTTTAGGCTGTGCGTATCCTTCAGGATGACATTATGTGTGATATCATTAAAATAGGATCTCTAGTGAGAAAGAGAGAGAGGTTTATAAAAAGAAGAGACAGACTTATTGGGCCAAAAGGTTCTACTCTGAAGGTACATGATGCATGCACAATAAGCATAAAGATCTTACCTGTGTGTTGGGTCTCCAGTTTATACTTGTTTCCTTTTTTGCATAGGCCCTGGAACTTTTAACAAACTGTTACATCATGGTACAGGGGAACACCGTTTCAGCTCTTGGACCTTTTAGTGGGCTAAAAGAGGTAAGCTTATTTAAGAGGCCTCTGCCTCCATCTCCATGATAGATCTTGAAGTCATCATCTTCCCAGCTCGGATCCAGCAAACTTTAAGCGGACCTAGAGAGCACCTATCTGTTTCTTAATGACAAAAAAACTTTTGAAAGTTTGTAGACATAAGCACCTCTAGCACTCATCCAAAACTGCCTAGATCAGGTGTCGGTGTGTGGAGATCTGTGACAGGGACTGGGTTGCAAGCGGTATCCTGCAACAGCAAAAGATTGCCAATCCCTGCCCTAGATGGTAGGTGAGACAGACTTCTACACCTATCAGCCTTCCCCATGAAACAGATGTGCAACTGTTTAATGCAAAAGTAGTTTGTTGACCATAAGCTGAAGAGTATTGTTGCTGCTAAACAGGTTAATTCATTGCATATGCATGTATGAGTCTAGGGTTTTTGGTTGTAGCTGTGTTGGTCTAAGGACACAAGCAGGCAAGGTTCTTTGGGTAGATATGGTATCTTTTATTAGACCAACTAAGTAGTTGGGGAAAAATTTTTTAGCAAGCTTTTGGGTGCGGTCACCCTTTTTCAGGCCCAGAAAGTCTTTGCTGTGCTGAGACTTGAAGGAACAAGAGAATGAGTTTAGCTCTCTTATAAATATGTTGCTTTTTAGAAAAAAAAAATTGATCCATGTCCTTCATAGACCATAAGAAGCAGAAACAATGCAAGACATAGGCTTCATTTGGAAACTTAAATGCAAAGATACAAGAATTTTAAACTATTTACTCAAATGCAAGACAAGGTTGTATACAAGACAGTATAATCAGCATGGGGTAAAACCTTCATCTCATATTTGCACACAAGGAAATCTCATTAAATACATTGTCTATCGTTAAACTGCTGCCAAAACCTGCATGTGTTCAGTAATGGAAAAATATAACCAACATTCTGTTTATTTTTAAGGTCAGTGTTTTCAAATTTGTGCTTCATTTCCATGTGCTTAGGGAGAGCGGGGTCTGCCAGGAGCTGGGGAGGGGGCTGCAGGTGAAAGAAATCTGGGGGGAGGCACAGGGCACGGTGGCTGCCTGATGTCCCAGATATATTCCCTTCTATAGCAGTGGAAAGGGGGACAAATTCAAGGCAGATCTCCAATAATTAGTTTCAATATTTGAAAAATAGCAACAAATTTGTAAATTTCTCTCATATAGAATAATTATTCGTGGTCGTCTTGTATTCATGGTCGTCTTATGTCCGAGGTAAATATGTTAATTTCCTTGGTGTTAAAGGAAAACTAACCTTTTTGAAAGAAAAAAAAAAAAAAAGGAAATTTGGATTTTACCCCTTTATATTGAAACAGCCGCACTTTAGAGAGGCCGTTAATTTAATGAACATATTCTTATTCTAAACATATTTACTCAAGTTACAAACACCATCTAAGATAGCTAATTCAAAAAGGTTCAGAGGAGGATTTTTCTTCTAACATTTCACTGGTACAAAGGAGTTTGAAAGTATTGTTTAAGATTTATTATGTTAATACAATTTATAATGCCAATGATGAGTTCAATTTCCTTTTATTTTTTTTTTATAAACTAGGTTAGAAAAGCTGTTTTGGACACCATGAAGAATATACATCCCATATATAATATTAAGGTGCGTGTAGTTCTGTATACATGGGCTAGCTAGCTCATTAACTCACACCGTACAAGTGGTTACCAGTCTTTCACTCCAAATTCTGTTCCTTGCAATAAAGCATCTTTGTTAAGTATTCATATGATGCCTTATTTTGAGAATTTCCTTTATGTTGCACCTTTTAAGAAGAATATAGTCCCTTCAGATTATCTTGAAATAACCCTTAGTCGTGTGCATCAGCAGAATAATAATAGCATCTAATCAAGCAATAAAGGAAAACTGCATGTTCATTTATATGATAGTTTGCACATAAATCGAGGCAACTTGGCTAGTATACTTTGGCCCCTTAGGACTTGATTAACTACTAAATTGCATCTTAAGTAGCAACGAGGCCACAAGTTCATGCAAATAATGCTGTAATAAAATAGGGAATAAGCCACAGAGTTATCATACAAAATGTGTAATAACTGTGGCTCATTCCCATCACTCCTTAAATTGAATGTGTGGCCAGGCTGACTGGCACTTTGAGCTGGCTGTGCCAGGCACTGACTAAACTTTCTACTTAGCAGTCTAGGGGAAGCCTGGGATCATGATCCCAGGCTCTCCTGCACTGTCAATAGAATGTGATTAGGATATGGTCCTTGATGCCACAGTTGTGCCTCCTGCCATGCACATGTAGGATAGTAGGGCATTATTCTTGTGTTTGTGGATTAGATCCCATCAGGTGATTATACATGTGCTGGGAGGCTGCTCCAGTGCACTGTTATAACAGCGCGTTAGACCAGAATTGATAGTCTGCTGGGGCGTGGTGATTACCACACTCCAGCAGACTCCAGTATCACATGTATCAGCATCCCCGTGCTGAGAAACAACAGTGCGGGCACTCTAACTAGCGTGGGGATGCTGATGCACGTGATGCTCTGGCCGCTTTTAATTGGAGCAGTAAAGTGCCCCCTCCCCCAACTCCCAGAGTATGTGTATAAATGCCCTTTATGCCTTTAATTGATAGTCTGTCAGGGGCCTTTGTCCCTCAGTCTTAGCACAAGTACACTCTAGTCTCACTGCTCTTGCTTAATACAACCTAGTTTTCTTCTGTGCTTTATTGTAGTAATGTTAAAGTAATGCAATTTAGCATATGTTCCAACAGGATCTCTGCGGTGCTACAGCGATCTTGTTTTTAAATATTTCTTTTTACTATTTTTTAATAATTACAGACTCTCATGATTAAAAGGGAGCTATCAAAATACCCTGAACTAAGAGGACAGGATTGGGAAAGATTTTTGCCGCGGTTCAAACACAAGAACTTGAAAAGACGCAAGGAGCCAAAGAAGAAAAATATTAAGAAGGAATACACACCATTCCCACCTCCACAGCCAGAAAGCCAGGTCAGACTATTATGATTTATTTCACAGAAAGGTAAAGGGGCTTGACCATCTTGCTCCAAGGTAGTTTGTGATTGGGAGCTTTACTCAGTTGATACTTGTTATTGAGAAGTCTTAGTTTAAACACCTGGCTACATTTTCTTCATACTCCATCAACATGTTTTTGATTTTGTTTTACAGATTGATAAAGAATTGGCAAGTGGAGAATATTTCTTGAAAGAGAGCCTGAAAAAAAGAAAGAGAGTAGAAGAGAAAAAGGTAAAGTTATTCTGATTTTTGGTTTTGCTTTTATCAAACAGATTAGTCACATTCTCACTTTGTTTTATGTGCTTGGCAACAAAAGTTTTTGACCATTTTTCTTGTAATATTAGGCAAAACAAGCAGAAGCCATTAGTAGAAGACAAGAGGAAAGAAACAAAGCTTTCATCCCACCCAAGGAAAAGCCAGTTGTAAAGCCTAAGAAAGGTAAGATTTATTTCCTGTTTTAAAACCCTTTCCGCTGTTTTGTCTGCTGTTCCTTAGTTTGGTGGGTGGTAGTAAAGAATATGAAAATTCATTTTGTGGCAAGAAGGACCAGCATAGGTCCATTTCACCACCTAAATCCATTAGTGGAATTGCAGATAGGTAGGGGTAAATAAAATATCCAAGAACAGTATTTCTGTAGTTCCACGAGGGTCCCCTAGATCACAAGTTGTTTCTTACTTCAGCTTTTGAGTATTAATAAGTAGCAATGGGAATGTATTCACTGTGGCATACTCATGCTTTTTTTTTTTTTTTTTTTTAATTTGAAAGAAATGACCAACTTGTGGATGGCACTTGAAATATAAAGACAAATTACAGCAGAAGGTATAGCAAGGTTAGTCCCCCTTAGGGTCTAACAGGTCAGGTAGATGTGCTTTCTAGGTAACAATCTACTTTGTCAAATGGGGAATTACATTTTAGGATACTGTGTATGATACATTTACCTTTTTATCTTCCTGTATAAATTACAAGAGTATTTTGTGTTAGGGAAGAACTGAAATCCCAAAGTGCTGGTTCATTTTTGTGTAGGAATAAGTAGTGGTTTATGAAAAATAAGAACACTGTGCAGACTCATGATTCTTCCCCACATGAAAGTGAGGGGAAAATGCCAAGGTCCTGGTATGCTCTGATATGCTTAGTATAAATATACTTTTAATAATATCACTACTGCTTTTCTGCACAAGTCCATGACTGGTGAATTAAAATAAGGAGAGAAAAAATCCCACAACTTGTGCCCTTCCTCCAAAACTAAAAACAAAACAAAACACCTCTTTTAAGGCATTTATGGAACTGATGGATGTTTTAGCCAGGCAGCACATCCCTTAAGTTAATTTTTGGAACAAAAATGCATTCAAGATTTGACAGGTGTCAGATATTGTGTCTCGGTGCAGAGTCCATCATCTGTCCTCAGATGCCACTTAAAAAAATGGTTTCTAAGACATGTTATATTCTATCAGCTCTACCAAATTCAGCTATGGAATAATGTTAGAATAATTTTAAAAAATCTTTAAAGTTCTGTGCCTTGAATTTTATTTTTGTTAGAGACCACTCAGGGTATACAGATATGGGCTTGCTTTGTAGTCAGTTTCCAGTGTATACTTAAAAAAACAGAATGGATGACTGATTCTCTTTTTTTAACTCTTTCTTTTACATAGCTTCTACTGAAACAAAAATTGATATTGAAGCTATCAAGGAAAAGGTAAAGAAAGCAAAAAAGAAGAAGCTGGGAGCACTTACAGTGGAAGAAGCCAAACTAAAAATTGCAGCAGATGAAAAGAAAAAGAAAAAAAAGAAATGATTTCTTTGAGGACCAACATTTTGTACTGTATTTTGCAAAGAAACTTTTTGTACATAGAAGGTATAGGGCTGGGGTTATCAGCAATGCTATGCTGCCTTGGAATACAGAAGAAAAGACTAAAGAATACACTCTCTTTCTGGTATGCACATGCTGGGAATTTATGAACATAAAACAAGTTTTAAAATCTTCAAAGCCTGAAAAGAAAATATTTTAGTTACGTAGGGGGTGACAAAGCAGGTATGAGAAAGTAAAATAGTAACTTTTTATTCATTTTATCATCTTGGGAATGATCCAGACTTTATAGCATAATACAAACATCAGGATGGGCATTCAGATGCATAATATGAATCAAGAAGTCATAAGAATTTGATGAGAACATTATTTACAGGAAGCATTTCTGTAAGGGTGAGGCAGAATACAACATGTATGAAGATAACATTTGTATGAACATTTAAGTAGATTTGTAGTATTTGTTTCTGTCAGAGCTAATAATTATTTTTGCATAACTGTGTTGGTGTTTTAATACAATGTTACGTCCCTTTTACCTATTCATCTTTTGCTCCTTATAACATGATTGAATGGTATTGCTTTCTAACAGTCCCTGAAAACATATTGCTCATTTTGTGGAAACAGATTTGAAGCAAACTAAGTATTTGGAAAAAACGTAACGTTCAGTAAAAACCTAGTTCAGTGAGATTTCACACCTTGAGCTAAGAAAGAGAAGTACATGTGTGAGAAGCATACTAATCAAAGTGTTCAGCCTTTCTGGAATACTAGATGATTGCCATGCATAATTATTTTAAAATGGCATTAAAAAAAACAAGGATCAACAATAGAAGTCGGAAAAGGATTGGTTGATGTCATTTTTGAGTTGCATTGAAGGTGTGATTCACTTTTTTTTTTTTAAATTTCAGTCACTAAGGCTAGGTATACAATGGCTTATTATTTGTGTTACTCTAACACCTACTAATAAATTAGGACCCCATGGTACAAATGCAACAAAGAGAGTGCCTGGCAAAAAATAGCTTATAATCTAAATATGGGACAAACAAGGGTCAGGAATCAGTGGCGGGCAAGCAGCTTGTACTAGCATCCTAACTATTGCCAAGTTTTTTTTACAAACACCTGGCACCAGCAAATTCCAGAGTGGTGTGGGGAGGGATGCCTGGGCCATGGGGACCACCAGTAACCCTTTGCAAGTTGTATGCAGCCCCCAAGCTGCCAATAGGACAGCACTGCTGTGGGATCTTAGCATCTGTTAACCGACTACTTTCATGTTATTGCAGTGGCAGGACATTAGTAGTGTCTTTGTTGTCTGTGTTTTTACCAATGGTGTGTTTCAGAATGTCCTTGTGTTATTTATTGTGCCTTGTATTTGGATGTGAGGCTTCAAAGTGATAAGATGAGGGGGATTCCTTGACTGTTTATGTATGTAGGGGACTTGACTTGTTCCAGGAGGCCCCTTTCAGTTCTCGTGTTCCTTTGCCTCCTAACTCACAGCATAATAGACAGACATATGATCTACATCAGCAGTTCCCAGTCTGTGGTATGCATACCACCAGTGGTACGCAGACAACCTGTCAGTGGTACACGTTAACAGATTTATTATAATTACTTTATCTGACAAAAATTAGCTGGTGGTACTTAAGGTTGAATTGACTAATTTGCCTGTGGTATTTAAGGTTGTATCATTTTAAATGGGTAGTGCGCAATTTATTTGAGTTTGGGAACTGCTGATGTACATTTTTCTGCAAAAGCAGAATTTTGGAACATTTGTTAAACTGACCAGAGTTTAATAGGAATACCCCAATATCACAATACTGTAGAACTCAAACCTAGTTCTTATCCTTAACTTACTCAAAATATTGGTTATCGTGTAATTTATTATAGTGGTTATGTAATTTGGTGTCTTGAGCAGCTTGTCTGCATTATGCAAAATGTGGTACCATGTACAAACTTGTCTTTTATTAATGCTCAAACTTTACGTGGGTTTTCCTGGTTAGTAAGTAACCTTGACTTAGAGGTCCACATAAATCACTAGAAGGGAATACCTAAAACAAAAAGAATCCTAATGTGATGATTAAGATGACTCTTAAGTTGTTATTTTAGACTAAACTTTAAGGTACATGGGATGGGATGAGATACAGTACAGAAGCCTGCCCCCATGGAATTCTTGGTAGCATCTGGAGCTCTGGTTCTTTTGGCAGGTGATTATATGAAGTTTGCCTTTCATTTTGAAGGAATTTTACTCCTGCTTTTCATCCTCTTTGTTCTTTTTGTAACCATAGCCTTTCCTAAACAAAGCTTTTGTTTTTCCAAACAGATATCTGGGATTTTCTTTTATTTTAGTAAATGGAATTGAAGGTGCTTACAGGAGTAACAAGACACTCTGTTCAGATGCCTGAGAGTAATAGAATTTTAAAACCAGGAGTAAATATAACAGTTACTTAGCAAGGTATCTATGTAACAAAGGCACTAGATTCTCTCTCACAAAGTAAATAACCAGATGTGAATGTGTGACCACTTGCACACAAAACAGTAACCAATCCATTATGCGGTTTTTCTGCTTTTAAGGTTGGTGATCCCTTATTTAGACCAAGCAAGTAGCTTATTTCCTATGAAAATGGGGGAAAAAAACATCAGTGATGAAAAGCCCATATAGTGAGCATATGTGTGATTGAAGAGACCGACGAAGAAACTTGATCTTGGAGGAGAAGGGTGTGCAATGACGAGGGACTAATCCAGTGAAGGATTACATTGGCTAATAACAAGCTCCTATGGCTAGGGGTCCTGTCAGCTGCAGCACTCCCATCCACTAGAGTGCATGGGGTGCACCTGCAGCTGTATGCCTCTGCAGCTGAGAGCCTCGTCAACAGATGGGGCTCCCAGCCACAAGGGAGCACCTGGCCACAAGTTCAATTAATGGTGTGATAGGAAGGAGCTCATTGCACATTTTTTGTTGAATAACTTTGTGGCTTATTCCTTGTTCTATTACACCCTTGATAGATTGAACATGTGGCCAGGTTACAACTTAAAACATGATTAATTGGTTAAGCACTTCTTAAATGTAGTGTGCGGTACAGGCCACCGAGGCAGAACTATAGGGAGCCTAATCAAGCAGGGAGGTACCTAGAGAATTTAGGTGCCCAAGAATTAGGCAGCAGCCAAGCAGGAACTTTCTGAATTGCAGTTACAGGCTTACATGGCTAAACTCAGCCCTAAGGCCTTAATTGCCTCTAACCCAAAGTGAGAGTTGTATGATTGGCTTTTATCCAAAGATTGCTTCAAAATCTTGCATGGTCTCTTTCCCCACATAATTTTTGTAATAAATGCATACTGAACTGCTTTTATTAAATTTTAAATAGCTTATTCTGTGGACTGTGAGCATATGTGCATGTAGATATGTTCCATGTAAGCTTTGGCATGATGATATTAACTCTCCAGTAGGAAAGACTATATCTGGATACCCAGTCCGAAGAAGATATTTTTCATTTACTTTGCACAGGTGCAAGTCAACAGATTGCAAGGCTGCGGAGATTTAGTTTATCTAAATGAAAGGCTGGGCCAGCTGAAGTGAAGTATCAAATAGTGTGCCTTCCGCAGTTAGTTCCAGCTGGAAATAGAAACCAACTTTTTTCTGTTGGTTTTCAATGATACCTATAGCTGCAAGTTGGATCTCAGACTACTCTACATCACTGGCTTGTGTGATAATGGTCAGATTCTTATTATGAGCCTGCACTATATAGTACTTGCTCCTTCATATGTTTTTGTTCTTTTATTGCATCTGAAATCTGCATCTTGCAAATCAGTTGTTATCCTTTGTTTTATTTCCATTTTTTGGACATGTAGCTATAACATGTTGATGATTTGAAAATGTTAAGCCTACAACACTTGGAGCATACTTGATTAGACTTTGTTAATAAAATCTATTCTTAACCCTACAAGGTTGCGCTTTGTATAGAGCCTACTTTCCCAACATTGTGTTAGTCTCAATTTGTGGTTTGATGGTCACTTGAAACCACTGAGATACATCTTATTGTTAATTACTTTCTGTGAGAAGGTCAATTAAATATAAAAAAAAATCTGCCAGTGAAAATAGAAACTAGAACTTGAGTAACAATAAATTTACCAAGGCTTTGTTCAAGGAGACCTGTCAATTTGAAATCCAGTTAACTAAAATACAAATTAAAATTAGCCTTGGGTCCTAGTGCCTGTCCATTAATGTCCTTTCCAACTTACATGGATCTGCAATGTATTTTTTTTTTTAATATTTAAACATGCCTTTTTTTTTTTTGCCTTTCTTTCCTATCTCATAGCTGTGTGAAAAAAAACTACAAATAACGCAGGAAGCTAAATCAAGTCCTGATTCTCCAAATATCTCACATGTGATCAGTGTCCCACTGATTACTAGTTGCCTGATTAAAGTTATTCATTATGTAAGTATATTTGTAGAAGTGACCTTTATTTGTACGGGGGGGAATGGACTAATATACGCAGTAGCTGAAAATGAGAGGGAAAATGCTGACAAACAAAATCCTGAAAAAATAGCTTTTAATGTCTTCCACGTTTAGTACCGTCATGTTGCTTCAGCAGCAGTTGATTTAAGACAGTCTTTTGATAGAATTTAAGTGATTTTTTTTTTTTTCTTGAGCTAATGATGGTCCCTGTAACTCCAAAGGTCCTTGATAAATATTTTCTGTTTGCCTGTCAAATCCTACATTGAAATATGGATGTTTGACCACCTTCCATTCATAAGTTTAGTGTTCAAAGGTAAATGTTAGAAGTGTGCGTGTGGGGGGAGATCTATACTTATGTTTGCCTATGTTTGTGTTTAATGAAAGAGACAGTGAGCTCATTCCACGTTGACCCAGGAAATGCAAAAATAAGGTCAAATAAGAGGAAAAATCTGACTATCTTTGGGTTTTTTCATGTCTGTGTCTGAGAACTTTTATCGGAAAACCATTAGAAATAGTGAAGTCCCTGGTGAAATCTACAACATTTCACCATTTTCAGGGTAAAATCTTTGCTTCAGGTAGAGTTTCTGTGTATTTAATTTATGGCAGGGTGGCTTTCAAGGGCTGTTGGTTTGTGAATTTTAAGTAGAAGAGGCTTGCACTGAAAATAAACACCTAATTAAATTTCTTGAGTAATTTAATCTGACCATCTCTTTTGTCCAATGTTTACTCCTTACTGGTAGCTAGCTGAATGTAATCATCCTATAGTTTGTATCTTTTTCACAACAGGATGTCACTGCATTTCCTACAGCATGGTGCATAAAAAGTTGAAAAAGAAAGGCAAAGTGATGATTTGGACTTGGTGGTTTTCCTTTTCCCGGCAGTGAGCCACAGTACTTCAAGCAGACTGGCTCTTTAACGTAGTGTCGATAGATTATTTAGACTACAGGGTGCCTGAGAAACAGGAAGCAGCTGAAGAAGGAAAGCTTTGTGCCTTAGACTGGTCCATATGTAACTGCTTTTATAATAGAGAATAAAGGTTTGTAGTTCATAATGGAAATGTGCATGAATTATGGAAATAGGGATATAGTGGTTGGGGGAAAAAAATGGCTTGGTAACACTCATTTTAGGAGGTCGAAGTTTGTTTAGTGACCCTTCATGTTGAATTTCTCAACTTTCAAGTTTTTTTGTTTTATAAATGCAGTGTTCTGTCTTGTTTCTAAAATAATGAGTATTTACAACTTTCTTGATTTAAAGCTT